AAGTATATTTATAACCCATTGCTAATCTATGTATTCTTTTTAAAGTAGCATATGGAACATATTTTCTGCCTCATTCTGTGACAAGAAGCCACATCAGATCACAAAAGGATGCATTTGACTGGTGTTGTGAAAAAAAAAGGTTATAATTTTCTCTTTTGTTGGACAACAGGTTTAGAAATGTGAATACAAGGGAGGTTTAGCTTTAGGCATTTTAATTTAAGCATGTTTAGCTTAGTTAACGGAAGGCTACCTGCTGCCATCAGAGTGTAATTACTGCATCCTCGGATGCTCTCATTTCCCGAGTTGTGCTTTTAAGTCGGAATGTGAAAACAACATGGACACTCTCGTTACTACAAAGATGTGTTGGATTTGTATTATTAGAGCTTTCCGACTTGAGTTCATGTGCATTTTCTCAGTCGGGAAATAATTTTTCATGTGCGGTGCCAGTGATGATGCTTCTTACGTCCGTTTCGGAGAACCAGAGGACAAATATTTCAATCGATCGCTCAGGCATTGCACCGAAATGAGGCACCGAAATCTGCGTTCGGATTCGGTTCTAGTACATACCGGTTACATAGGTACCGGTGCCATATTGGTACCGGGTTTCGGTACCCAACCCTACTCAAAATACTGCAAGTTTTTGTTCAGTGCACCTCAATGATTGTTCTACACGCTTGTGAATCCTTTTGCTATAAATAACACAATGTAAACATAATGTAAATGAGAGATTAATTGCACAGTGTAGACAACCTCATTGATAATAATTTATTAGGTAGGTGTGTTAGGTGCACTGGTTCAATTGCTCCTTAAAGCAAATATCTAATCAGCCAATCACATGACAGCAACATTTAGGCATGGTCAAGACGATCTGCTGAAGTTCAAATGGTCTGTATTACCGTTTCATGTTTTAATTATCATTAAAACCGTATTTGATTCAAACTCAGGATAAATAAACACTATCTAGCATAAAGCTACGATTTAAATAACAGTCTCATGTGCGCACAACATTCAGAGTAGTTTCATTTTGTGTGAAAACATGGCGGCAAACTGTGAGGTTTTAAAAGAGTGCTAAGGGAATTATGCAAATGAATATATGAATGAACTAATTAAGTTCTGACTGTCTTCAGAAAAGAATCGATGCCATTTTGTTTTCATCTTCGCTCCGTGTAATACCTAATAAAGTAGTGTTCTTAATCGCAATGCTGCTTGTCCACGGAGGTAACGGGAACAGCTGTAATTCTGCTGTTCCATAAGTGCCACCTAGTGTGAGAGAGTGGATTTACAGAGAGTTACATTTACATTCAGCCTGTGTGCAGTTTTTGTCTGACCAAAAAACGGATCTGCATGCCCTGCTGTAAATTTTGACCGGTTAATGAAAATCAAGCTTACGTGGATTCTACACATGTAAACAATTTGGATAAGGTATCTAGAATTATTTATGGAGCAGATAAAATACATATAATCATTTATTAATCAATTATCATTTTGACTTAACGGGGTCATATGATGCTTTTTTAAAGATCATTATTTTGTGTATTTGGTGTAACAGAATATGTTGACATGCTTTAATGTTCAAAAAACACATCATTTTTCAAATAGTGTACATTATTGTAGGTCCGATATGCCCCGCCTCTCTCAAACGCTTAGTTTTCTACAAAGCCCCCTCCATGGAATCAGCTCAGAAAAATATCTCATAGGTCAGTACACTTAAATAAAAAAATATGCACTAGCGTCTGTGAATATTAAGCTGCAAAAATACTTTAATATTAAAATATGAATATAAATATTAAAATATTAAATATAAATCTTAAATATGTAAATATGAATCCTGAATGTTCTGTGTGTCTCTGTGTAAATGTAATATATGCTGCTCTCTACAGATGCACGCTTGTCAAATCCTTGAGCAATGCCAAGTGCGCAGTCCTCAAAACCAGTTCAAACACAATAAAACACCTTCTATACAGACCCAGTTTACAGAGCTTTCATTAGCTGGCTGTACAGTACATACACGATGAATGAAGTGTGGATGAAACATATATTTTATCGTAATTATATATATAATACACAACTATTATCCTAAGATAAACCACATTTTATATATCTATAGCCATGTCAAGATGCAATATGCGATATCCATCCAGAGTATATGCTTTTTGCGTACGTGTCCTTTCAGCTGTTTCTATATATATATATTTTTTTTTTTGTAAATTTAGAATACATTTTAGTACAAAAGTTTTTAGTAAATCATGGTTTGTTTGTGAAAACGTTTGGTAAAATAAACATTTGCTTCTTGAACAAAAAAGTAGGTTGAGACTTGATTTCGTCTATCAAGAAGTGCATACATCATCAGTGTATCATCACGAGGGAGGGACAATTATTTTGATTAAAGAATACAAGGGCACAATAAGTTTAAAAAATATGTGCATGGGTATATTATTAATAATAAATACAGCAATATTGCATAAACAATAATAATTGTCCATTTTAATTTTAAAGGTGACTTTTAATATGAATATCTCGCAATTCTTTCACATTTAATCTTAATGATGTCTGAAGCATTGTTGGACATAAAACAGTGCAGTACAATGTGTACAAATGTTGTTGTTTTTTTTTAAAATGAGAACTGTTTAACCTCACATCATTATCACATCTTACCTTCAAAATAACTTTGACTTCTTCTTTAGAACAGTTATCTAGTCGTGTTACTCGATGTTCGAGCCATTGCTGGACCACAGCTCTCCGTTCAGCGCTGTCTCCTAGCAGCTCAGGTCTCTTAGCCTCACGGACCAGATGGGACGCTATAGTGACCAGACCGATCAATGCTGGTCCATTGTTGTTTTGGAGAACAGGGACCTACAAATGGATAAATAAAAAAGGTTAAAAATTTACCTGAAAACAATAAGCAGGGGTAGATCTATTCATTAAATTACTGCTTTAAGTCAAAGCAATGCTGGAGGTGTGGCAAAAAAAAAAAACTGATTTAAAACTTTTTTTTTTTTAATTAGGTGGTAAGTTTAGCTGTCAAGAAATTGGCATAAAATACATAAAATACATAAATTCATGTTAATGAACTAGGGTAAACTTTGTTAAAGTTTGAACAGGTTTTGAAGAGATTTAAGAGATTTATCACTTAAACATTTCAGAATTTGCTAAATTAATTTCATTAACTTCATATTGATGTACAGTGTTGACCAATCACACTACCAGTTATCAATCCTAAGACTAATATTAACATTGATATTATTAACATGAATATTATATATAATACATTGTGTGTATATATATATATATATATATATACACACACACACACACATATAGTCTAAATTATTTATAAAACTCAACTGTATATAAAGTATTACAGCATGTTTATTATTAGTATTATTAATGTGACGGAAGTAAATATTAGTGAACATGAAGTTCAAATCAAATTTCCTTGGGGACAAATCATATTCATTCTGATTATGAGAATACAGTTATATTTCTAGCATACTTCTCAACCTTTTCTCTTTGGAAACACATGACAATACAAATTTATATGAGCCTTGAATACACCTTGTGGGTGTGAAAGCACTCCTAACTTTTGTTAAATTTATCTAAAGTAATATTTACTTCTTGGGAGGCGAGGTACACGAGGTCCAACAATACAAGTTAACTAAAATGGCCATGTGGTCTTTTGTTTTTTTATGTGCATCTGTAAATCACCCAATATATTGTATGTTCCGAATGCTCTCTAACATGTTATCTGAAACAGCTGAAGTTATTTTTTTCCACATGGTGCTGTCTTGTCTTCGGTGCTTCAGATCACAGCCACAGCTCACACTAACACAGATCTGTCAGTGAGGCTACAACTAACACACATGACCGCTTGTCTAAATAAAAATTCATCACAATTTATGAACTTATGAAACACTCATGTGAAAATCCTGCTTAACATAAAAATCTGAAATCTTAAATAATACAAATTTGAAATAAAACCCCATTGATTTACACCAGTCATCGATTCATACGATCTCTAATATCTCACATAATACCACGCACAAACGCGTCTTGAAAATGTATTACAGCCTCCTAACTCCAAGTATATCACATTCAGTGTTTTATTCACCTTTTTCCCTCCTTGCGAACTGTATTTATTTGGCTTTTTTAATCCTAGAAATCTCTCCAACGAGCTCAGCTCCCTTAACGCCATCTTGATCACACCGGAAACCTGACACATAAAGCGCTCGCTGATTGGTGGAGATCCTCCAGTCGCGCCTCGCTTACGTCATGATGGACTGAAGAGACCCTCATGTGGTGATATACCCTGCAGAGTCATGTTTATATGATAAATCTTATTACTTTTGCTTGCAACATTTTTATAAGTTCTCCTGCAGAAAAACTTGCAATTATATTGACACAATACGACTTTACAATACGATGAAATAAAAGTAATTAAAATAGTATATATGTTAGTTTATTATAGTCTGGTTTAGCCTATTTGTAGCAGCCACTCAGCTTGGTGAATGTAAGTGTTATTTAAAAAAAGCCAGCTGCAGTATTATGAAATCACAGTTAAGACAAAATTGTTTCAGCAAGGAGCTGAGTTTTTTTTTTTAATTATGTCTTTACAATTAACACAAAATTATATTATTGATATCATAATTTCCAGCACTAAGGGCTAAGTTTAAAAGATGCCTCTCCTTCTTAATTTGTGGTCAGCCACAAAGAAAATTATATTCTGTTTCCAGGACTTTTAATGTCCTGAATTAGACTACTTCCCCAAGGTAAATGACATACATCCTCTCTCTCTCTCTCTCTCTCTCTCTCTCTCTCGCTCTCTCTTTTTTCTTTTCATTGCTCGGACCACAGGCCATAAACTACAGTCCTAGCAATACTGTTTGCCAATTTGTCAAATTTGCCAATTAATGCATTCTGGAATTATCTTCCCAGTGAAGAATACAAGCATATATGTGACCCTGGACCACAAAACCAGCCATAAGGGTCAATTTTTGAATAAATAAGCTTTCCATTGATGTATGGTTTGTTAGGATAGGACAATATTTGGCCGAGATACAACTATTTGAAAATCTGGAATCTGAGGGTGCAAAAAAATCAAAATACTGAGAAAATCACCTTTAAAGTTGTCTAAATTAACTTCTTAGCAATGCATATTACTAATCAAAAAATAAGTTTTAATATATTTAGAGTAGGAAATTTACAAAATATATTCATGGAACATGATCTTTATATAATATCATAATGATTTTTGGCATAAAAGAAAAATCAATAATTTCGACCCATACAATGTATTTTTGGCTATTGCTACAATATACCCCAGCGACTTAAGACTGCTTTTGTGCTCCAGGGTCACATATACTTAACATGTAAGTAGGCTATATCTACATACATTATTATTATTATTATTATTATTACTTATGCATTGTTCAAATTAAAGTAGCAAACATCTTTGCATTTGTAGATAGCTCACGGATACATTCCGCTGTATTTTTTATTTTCCAGTTTATTGAGATTTAGGCTACTGAGAATACATACATTTTAATTCACAATGGACCCACTCAATCAGCAAATTATTGAGTGAGTCTTTGTTCTTTTATTGTTCCAACCACAGTTAGGATTTGTAACTTGCATGAGTGTTCACTGAAACAAGACCCATCATGCAGATCAAAGAGATGCTGACTTCACAGGAACAACCCACCGACACAGAATCCAGACTGGTTTTTAGATCCTGCATGGATGTATTGTATACACAATTTTCCCATGTTTGTTTTCATGCAATCATAAGTATCTTCTTGATGGAGAATTGAGAAAAAAAAATGCCTGTGATCTTGCCATCAATCAGCTCAGGCACAACTGTACAGCAGATGAAAGCGTTGCAGTGCAGTTTATAGTAGCATATATGTATTTCCTCATTGTTTTTCATCGAAATCCTGGAAATTTAAATCAAAATGACAGCGAGGGTTTAGAGTTTCCCGAGTCCTGCAGCAAGTTTCCCTCTGCTTCACTTGGCTGTCTGTTTCCCAGCATCCTCCTGCTCGTCCTCCGTGCGCCGTGTCTGTTTGGATTTACACAATCACTGTATGACTCCTCCATAATGAAATGTCAGCTATCAATCAAACCGGCCTCATTAACTCTATAAGGTCCAGGTGTGGGTGACATCATGGAAAGCGAGTGCAGCTTTGAAAGTGTTGTATGCTTCTCATGCACCCATCAGTCAAATCACTGTCTGTCACAGATCTTGGCCGAGACCTTTTATTTTTTTCTTTGAGGAAGACAGCATGCAGAAAAGGCTTCTGACGGTGCTCCTTAGTCAATTTGACTAATTTTTTAACCTGCTCAAAATACTGGTAAAACTTTATTTAGTCAAGGTGTTGTATAAAAACTATTTATTTCATCTTGAAAATTTTGCGAGCATTTTTCATTTAGGGTCATGAATGTGCATGCACATTTTCAACAGATGTTTTTTTTTTTTTTTTGGATAGGCTGCACAAATAATATGTTTTTTTTTTTCTTGTGACCCCCTCATAACCTCCATTGGTTTCCATGCAAGTTGCCAAAACTCAACACTTTGAAAAACATAAAGAGCCAGAAAAAAGAAAGAAAGAAAGAAAGTTCATTTATTGTAGCTTGTCAAACACAAAAGTGTGAAATAGGTACACAAGAACTTATGATTTTTTAAGACTGAAAGTTGAAGTCCCCATGAAATCAAAATTAAGGTTTTTTGGGTGTTAGTATCAATATGTTAGTCTTAAGGTTATCTATAAGGCAGTGTGCTCCAAAACAGTGACACAATTCTCATTTAGAAGATATAAGCATTCTAAGCTTGCAGTTCGTCACTTCCGCCAAAACGGCTCAACGATTTTTTT